GGGGAGCGATCCCCACTCCTGCCTCAACCGTCGACATTCTCTCGTTTGGAATCATGACGTTTTTCTGCGCTTTGGGGGTGGTACAAGATGGACACAGCTTCTCTGAGCAGCATCCTGCTCGCTACTCCACACCTGTATTTGGCATGGCCCAACCCACCCTAACCCGCACATCCCTGCGTGCTACGGGGCAATTTAGCACGGCCAATCCACCCTAACCCGCACATCCCTGCGTGCTACGGGGCAATTTAGCACGGCCAATCCACCCTAACCTGCACATCCCTGGGCACTACGGGACAATTTCCCATGGCCCACCCACCCTAACCCGCACATCCCTGGGCACTACGGGGCAATTTAGTATGGCCAATCCACCCTAACCTGCACATCCCTGGGCACTACGGGACAATTTAGCATGGCTAATCCACCCTGGGCTGGAGGGGTGGTGGTGGTGAGAATGTGCAAACTCCACACAGACACAGTCACTCGAGGGCGGAATCGAACCCAGGACCCTGGTGCTGAGGCAGTAATGCTAACCACTGAAACACCATGCCACCCCATGAGTTTTAACACATTAAGTCTGAGGGGGAAATAAAAAACTAGAGTTAAACTGAAATGTAATGAAAACCCATCAGCGATTCACAAACAGAGGTAACACAGTGTGGAGCTGGGGGAACGCAGCAGGCCAGGCAGCATCGGAAGAGCAGGAAAGTCGATGTTTTGGGTTTTCTGAAGAAGGGTCCCAACCCGAAACGTCAGCTTTCCTGCTCCCCTGATGCTGCCTGGCCTGCTGTGTTCCTCCAGCTCCACACTGTGTTGTCTCTGACTCCAGCATCGGCAGTTGTTGCTATCTCAGAGAGATTCACAGATGTCCTTCCTTATGGGGTCAGGGCGTACACATGACTCTAGATCAACTGCGATGCAGCTGGCTCTTAACTGAGTGGGATACTCCGTTGCAGCAAGACCAGGTCAATATCTGTCTGGGCTGACAGCTGGTAAGTAACGTATGTTACACCAAGTGGTTGGTGATGACCATCGCCAATAAAAGAGAACACCTCCCTTTGATATTTTAATGGCATTACCACCATTAAATTCCCCTGCTATCAACATCCTGGGGGGTTGGGGTTTAACCACTGACCAGGAACTGAGCTGGACTGAACCATATAAACAGTGGATGCAAGAGCCAGGTCAGAGGCCAGAAACTGGCGGCGAGTAATTCACCTTCTGACTCCCCAAAGCCTGTCCACCATTGACAGGGCACAAGTCAGGAGTGTGATGGAATACTCCGCACTCACCCTGGATGGGTGCAGCCCCAGCAACACTCTAGAAACTCGACACCATCCAGGACAAAGCAGCCTCTGCTTGCCTGGCAATCACATCCACAAACGTAGGAAAGACAGAGGTAAACTGGAAAGTGCGCAGAGATTTACGAGGATGTTGCCAGGACACTTGGCAAGGGGACGGTGAGGGGAGGAAATGGCCTAGCTGTATTATCGCTGGACTGTTAATCCAGAGACCCCAGATAACGTTCTGGGGACCCAGGTTTGAATCTCACCACGGCAAATGGTGAAACTTGAACTCAATTTTTAAAAAAAAATCTGGAATTAAGAATCTAATGATGACCGTGAATCCATTGTCAATTGTCGGGAAAAACCCATCTGGTTCACTAATGCCCTTTCGGGAAGGAAACTGCCATCCTTACCTGGTCTGGCCTACACGTGACTCCAGACCCACAGCAATGTGGTTGACTCTTAAGTGCCCTCTGGGGCAATTAGGGACAGGCAATAAATGCTGCCTGGCCTGAATGAATAAATTAAAGTTATAGCGAGAGGTTGGCCAGTTTATGACTTTATTCCTTGGAACGTAGGAGAATGAGGCATGACCTTATTGAGGTGTTTAAAATCATAAGGGGTATAGATAGGATGAATACATACAGCATTTTTTCCCCAGGGATGGGGAATTGAAAACTAGAGGGCATAGGTTTAAGGTGAGAGGGGAAAGATTTAAGGAGAACATGAGGGGCAATTTCTTCATGCAGAGGGTGGTGCATATATGGAATGGTTTGCCAGAGAAAGTGGTTGAGGTGGGTACAATAGCAACATTTATAAACCATTTGGATAGGTACATGGATGGGAAGGGTTTAGAGGGAAATGGACCCAATGCAGGCAATTGGAACTAGCTGAGTGGGCACCATGGTCAGCATGGACCAGTTTGGGCCGAAGGGCCTGTTTCCATGCTGTATTACTTTGTGACTCTACTTTAGGACTCCAGCCATTCCCTCCACCACCGACGCTCAGTAGCAACAGTGTGTACCATCTACAAGATGCACTGCAGAAATTCATCACAGATCCTCAGACAGCACCTTCCAAACCCAAGACCTCTTCCATCTCGAGGGACATGGGCAGCAGATACACGAACACCACCCCTTGCAAGTTCCCCTCCGAACCACTCACGATCCTGACTTGGAAATATATCGCTATTCCCAGTGTCGCTAAATCCGAATCCTGGAATCCTCTCCTTGTCGGCATTGTGGGCCTACTTACAGCACGTGGACTGTAGTAGTTCAAGAAGGCAGTTCACCACCATTTTCTCAAGGACAACACCCCAATAAATGGATGCCGTTATTTCCCGGAATACAACTCAAAAAAGGGTGGATACAGAGATGCAAGCTATTCGATTTGATTCGACTTATTCAAGGTACAGTGAAAAGTGTTGTCTTACGTGTTCACAAGCAGGTCGTACTATACAAGTGTGTCAGGGTAACAGAATAGAGTGCAGGATGCAACGTCACAGCTATCAAGAACTTGCAGAGACAGTTCATTATTAACATTAAAAGAGTCTGATAACAGCGGGGAAGAAGCTGTTCTTGAATCTGTTCGTACGTGTATTCAAACTTTTATCTCTTCTGCCCGACAGAAGAGGGTGCAAGGGGTCTTCGATTATTTTGTTTGCTTTCCTGATAAAGTCAACGGATGGAAGGCTGGTCTGAGAGACGGACTGGGCTATGTTAACAACTCTCTGGAGTTTCTTTCGGTCTTGGGAAGAGCTATTCCCAGTTGGCTTGGGGACCAGAACTGTGCACAGTATTCCTAGTGGGATGTGTAGCTGGGAACTGTGCCACAGTATGCCCAGTGGGAAGTGCAGATCAGAACTGCGCACAATGTTCCCAGTGGGATACGGAGACCAGAAATGTGTACAGTACTCCCAGTTGGATATGGAGATCACGACTGTGCAAGGTATTCCCAGTGGGATAGGGAGACCAGAGCAATGCACAGTATTCTCAGCAGCATACCGAGACCTCAGCAGTGCACAGCAAACACAGAAGGTTATAGAAACCAGAGCAATGCACTGCATTCCCAGTGGGATAGAGAGACTGAAATACTGCAGAGTAATGCTTTAGAGTCAGATACTTTAGAAACTTTTAAATGACTCTTGGATAGGCACATGCAGGATAGTAAAATGTAGGGTATGCAGGGTAGATTGATCTTAGTAGGATAATAGGTTGGCATAACATTGTGGGCCGAAGGGCCTGTACTGTTCTATGTTCTATGTTCTACGTGATACCAGTGGGATACAGGGACAAGCATAGTAAACAGTATTCCCCACAAGATAAGGGGACTGGAACAGTGCATAGTAATCACAGTGAGATCCAGAGGCCATATCAGTGCCCGAAATTTGCAGTGGAAATGAAGACCGTAACAGTGCACTGTATTCTCAGTAGCATACAGAGACCAGTAACAGGGCACAGTAATCCCAGTGGGATACAGAGACTGGAACAGTGCACAGTGTTCCCAGTCAGATACGGAGATCATAATGGTGCGGAGTAGAACAATAGAATCCCTACCGTATGGAAACAGGCCATTCGGCCCAACATGTCCATACCGACCCTCGGACTCGGACCCAGACCTCTCCCTGTAACCCTGCATTTCCTATGGCTAACCCACTTAAATTACACACCCCTGGACACTACGGGTAACGTAGCATGCACTGACCTGCACACCTTTGGAGGAAACCAGACTAAACTCACGCAGACGCAGGGGGGAAAACATGCAAACTCCACACAGACAGACAGACAGTCACCTGAGGCTGGAATCGAACCCGGGTCCCCGGCGCTGTGAAGCAGCAATGCTAACCACGGAGCCACTGTGTCTCACTGAGAGCTCGACCTGCACATCTTACAGAGGTGGTAGGTCATTTTGCCTGTTGTGAATGACCTACAAACCTGATCTACAATCCCTTGCTCCTCTACCCTGAAAAGCTCATCCGCGACTCAATGTCAACACCAGCTGCGCGCCCACACGGTATGGATGCCTGGGGGTTACTCACCGATTTGCACGTTGCCAGTCTGCTCGGCTGGCCCACCCACCGCCACGCTGACGATCTGCAGCAGCTCGCTCGGCCGGTTGCCCCCGGCGATGGTGAAACCGAAGGTGTTGTTGGTTTTGGTGATGGTGGCGAAGACAGAATATCCCAGCATCTGGGAGACATCTGGCACCAACAGGCTATCTGTGGGGGAGGGACAAGGACAGGCAGAGGTGTGGGGTGGGGGAGGAAGGGAAGAGAGAGAGGGAGACAGGGAACAAGAGAGGGAAGGAGAGTGAGCGAGAGACAGAGAGTGAGCGAGAGAGCGCGAGCAGGCGAGAGAGAGAGCGCGAGCGAGAGAGAGAGAGCGAGAGAGCGCGCAGGCGAGAGAGAGAGAGAGCGCGCGCAGGCGAGCGAGAGAGCGCGCGCAGGCGAGCGAGAGAGAGCGCGCAGGCGAGCGAGAGAGAGCGCGCAGGCGAGAGAGAGAGAGCGCGCAGGCGAGAGAGAGAGCGCGCAGGCGAGAGAGAGAGAGCGCGCGAGCGAGAGAGACAGCACGAGCGAGCGAGAGCAAGAGCGAGCAAGGGACTTGAGACAGAGGGGGAGACAGACAAGGGGACAGGACAGTGGACACAGAGAGAGAGAGAGCGCACACGAGAGGCAGGGACAGGGAAGGAGAGGCAAATGCAAAAGGGAGGCAAGGGCGAGATGAAGGGAGGGATGAGAAAGGAAAAGGAAACAGTGAAAGATGGGTAAGTGAGATGAGAAAATGTGTATAATAGAGAGGTGGAGAGCGGGATCAAGAGACACAGGGAGGGGGAGGGAAGGAGTAAAGAGAGACGGGAGGGAAGAAAGAAAGAGAGAGAGAGACAGGAGGGAAGAAAAAGTGAGACGGGAGGGAAGAAAAAAGAGAGAGAGAGACGGGAGGGAAGAAAAACAGAGATGGGAGGGAAAGAAAGAGAGACGGGAGGGAAAAAGGAGAGATGGGAGGGACAAGAGGGAGGGAAAAGCATGGGAAAAATAACAGACGAGGCAAGAAATAGATGGGGAGGAACAGATAGTAATAGATGAGGAGGGAGAGGAAGTGGGGAGAGAGAGAGAGAGGAGAAACAGAAGGCAGGAGATGGAAAGGAAGGAGGCAAAGGCAAATATAGAAGGGGGGCAGTGACAGGGGAGATTGACAGAGAAGAGAGAACAGCGAGAGAGGAGGAGGAAAATGAGAGAGAGAAAATGAAGGGAACAGTAGGAGGAGAGACGCAAAAAGATGACAAACTTGCTGTCATGGTCAGACATCAATAAGCACGTGCTTCAATACAATGGGCTAATGTGAGAACTGGAGTGACTGCAGACATCGGCATGTGTCCCAGTGACTGTGGAAAACAGGCTGCACATTGAAAAGCCACACAGCAACTCCAAACCATGACAAATAAATGACCAACCTTTGCTGCCAGGGAGGGAGCGGGACACTCACCTTGACCCGTGTTAGGCTCTGTCTGTGTCCTCTCAGTTCTGCAACAAATGAACACAAAACCAACATGGTTAGCAAAATGTTACAGCAGCATATAGAGTGTTACAGTGAGGGATTTGTGGTATTAAAGGCCGTTACAGCGAGGGGGTGCGGGGTGTATCAGTGTGTTATATAGCGAGGGGGTGCGGGGTGTATCAGTGTGTTATACAGCGAGGGGGTG